ACAATTAATTTAAATTTCAAGACTTAACGAAAATAGATGTGAATTGTGTTGCGTTGAGAGCGAGATATTTAGTAATGCAATAATAAATTACTGTTTAAAAGGATTTCTCAATTCATTTATTTTAAAAATTTCAATTAAAATTTACTATAAATTATGGCAACAATTTAGACAATGAAAAAAATGAATAAAAAAGATTTCAAAACAAAGATCTTTTGGACTCAATGGAGTCTGATTTCGCGGATTTTGGGACTTCGGCCTCAAGTTTTGATGGCGTTTGGATATTAGGCTCAGTTGTCGTCGGGCTCTGGACTTCTGGATTAGCTTTTGCTGGAGTTGTCGATGGCTTTTGAGCATTCTTTGCATCACTCGCTATATCCTTATCGTTCTTATTAGTCACTGGTTTTGTCTTCGACTCATTGTTGCGGTGTTTGACAAAAGCGACAATCAGTGCGATCACAATCACGATCACCAGTGATATCAATAGTAAGACAAGCAATACATTCATCGCACGCCTACCAGTTGTGGACACAGATGATGGTGGTATCGGACAATTGAAGAACACATTGAATTCAAAGCCATCCTTGAAATGAAAATTAATAAAAATTTTAATAATATTTTGCATAATAAAGATCGGAATATAAGTTAAACATCACATACAAGTGTCAAGTGCTCGATATGATTAAAAACGCTGATCTGATAAACCACTGGATATGAAATGTCTTTTGGAAATACTAATAAATAGAATATTTTATTGTAGGAAAACATTCCCAATATTTTGGTGAATCTATTCCTTCCATAACCCGTAGGAAATGGAGAAAACACTTCCGAAAACGGAGTACTATTTCCCGGAAATTCGAGGGCAGATAAGCGTTTGGAAAAGTGGTAAATATTGGGATCGTCTTTGCGGTCAAGAATAATGGACACCGGATTTAAATACCATTCTTTATACTGATCGACACTTTGATTGTTTTGTAAGTATGCGATCGCGAGTATAGTATCGGATGTGATGTTGTTTTGCAGATACTGTTTGTCGAAAGCGTCGATTGTGTGGACACTAAATGGTAAGTCATTTGATCCCTTATTGTTGGGAATCATATGATTGAGTGGACCTGTCTTTAAGTCGAAGACTCCGTAAATGCTTTGGGAATTGAATTGTTTAGATGTCTTCCAATTGCTTCGACCAATGATTATAGTTCTGTAGGTATTGTTGTTTAGGAGATATGAATAACCAATTATCCGATGATTGATGTCTTAAAAAACAAATAATAATTAAAATCTCTCTCTCTCTCTCTCTCTCTCTCGCGTTTTGTATAATAAATTTTGTTGTATTTCCCACAGAATATGACGGAATCGATGGCTTCGATAGTGAAATGCGATTTCAATCAAAGCTATANCTCTCTCTCTCTCTCTCTCTCTCTCTCTCTCTCTCTCTCAACACAATTACCGAAATAATCGTTTAACAAATCCGTGACATATCTATCGAAATACAGAGAATTCCTTTCATTCTTAGGCCTGAATCGGAAGAGTTTGCGTCCGCTTTGAATGTAAACATGTTTTCCGATATTGAAAACACTCTTCAGTTGTTTAGCAGTTGTTTCGCAAACATCTAAATGTCTTTCTTCTGTATATTTATAGCTTTGATTGAAATCGCATTTCACTATCGAAGCCATCGATTCCGTCATATTCTGTGGGAAATACAACAAAATTTATTATACAAAACGCGAGAGAGAGAGAGAGAGAGAGAGAGAGAGAGAGACCTCTAAAAGTGATACATTGGGTCCATAATGCAAAACACGAATCAAAGGTTCGTAAAAATTTCTTGTGGTCTCAAAAGCAAAGGATCGATTGATTGATGGGATATAAAACGTGCCAATACTTGACAACGGATTCATATCAGAGATTCGTAAGAGATGTTTTAAATAATTAGTGGTTTCGCCTATTGGCTTATTCCTCAGAACCACAATTTCCAAGAGTTGTAATTCATTGTTAGTATTTGTGGCAATCATTTCAATGATCAGATGGGATGCGTTCACACTTTGCAATCGCATTGAATGCACTAAAAGTGGATGTTTTTGTTTGAATGCATTGCGAATCGTTTCGCAAATCGCTTGCGTTTCTTTGGACACGACTTGATATGGATGTCCTTTCGGGCGCACAAACGGTGGAAACGCCTTCAGACCCGACGGCGTGTACTGAAAGGCAAACGCTTTTCGTTCAAAATCGTCCTTTAATTTGCCGATTGTATTATCGTCTATGACTTCGGCGTAAATACAGGCCCTATAATAGTCTGGATTTAAGTAGAGTTGACAACGAATTGTGTCCGCATTTGTGAGACATTCGTTGACATTAGAAGTCAAGGAAGAATAGAGTTTGAATGTAAATCCCATCACAGGTTTAGTCGTGTCTTCAGTTATCAAACAAAAACAATTTGACTTTTAATTTGATTAACATTTTTGTGGATAAAATACAAACCGATATGAAATTTGTTGAGAATTGTTGTAAACTCGGAGTCAAAGAAAATGGGCTCTGATTTGATGCCAGGATTGGCACCACTTTTGAAGCTAACGTCAGACCACTTCCAGAATTTGGCGTTATTTTGAAAGTAGAGGTCATTTCCTAATCCGAAGACACTCTCAAGTCTTTGATCGGTTCCGCAGAAGTCGTTTGGTTTGAATAAAGGAAAGGAATCGTATTGATAGCGACCGCAACCGAAGAGAGTCTTTAAGGTCTGATTTGTACCAAACATTTGGGACTAAAATTCAAATACAAAATTTAATTTACTTTTTATAAACTCCCAAAAGCTCTAAAAATATTTACCGTTAAACTGGTGGTCAGAATGTTGTGCTCTAATTGGATAAGACTTAGAGGAGTGTCGAGATTGCAATTCTGGCCACAACTCCACGTAATGTTCAGATAACGGAACACATAATAGATCTCACTTTTGGGTAAATAGTACTTAACGTGAAAGAGGTATTTGGCATCCGTTAGATTGCTATCGTATACTTTGCAGAACTGATAGCCAATTAGGTTTACAGTGTTTGGATACGCCATAGACTCGGCTGTGAAGATCTGATATGTGATCTTATCCTCATAATAGGGCACAAACAGTATTCCGGTGTCATTATAACCAGTGGTTGGATAGACACTAGTGGTGTTGCCATAACCACCAGTCGTGGCAGTCGTACCGTTTCCACTATCGGTGACATTGATCTCAATAAACCTCACCTCCGGATGCGGTAAACGAAAGGATACGCCGGAGAAGAAGCCCTCTTTGGCTAAGTTAGTGTCGGGATGTTTCCACTTATGGCCGCAATAGTCAGTCACCCGAGACTTTAGAGCTGGAGTGTTCAAAATCATGAGACGAGAGTTATTGTATTTCATGCCAAACCACATGAATTTGTCTGCAAATCAAATCCCAACAACAAATTAATGGCTTTTCTTAAGACTATACAACAGTTCATTACTCGTCTGCGAATCGGTTCCGTAAATACACGCGTAGAAGATCTGCGAGTCGTCGTAGACTTCAGTGCATTCGTTCAACACATCCAAACTGCCGCAATCGTTGGACATAAACTGATACGTGAAGCCATGCACTGGTTTGTATGTGTCTGTACACCAAAAGAGTATCATTTAGTAAAAACAGTTGCAATCAAATGAATGGGTTGTTGTATTTGAATGAATGGCAAACCTATGACAAACATTGAGGCCAGGAATAGTCTCATCTCGTTGTCGGCGTAGAAGCGGGCGCTCCGGGAGGGGTACTTCTCCAACGCCTCGTCCGTATCGATCGAGTTATTGAGTTTCAAGAACTGAGTTTTGGTCTGAAATATGAGATCATTGCCTAAATTGAAGATCGATTGAAACTTCTTGTCCTGTATTTCGCAGAACTCGTGGTTTCCGTAAATAATGTTCTGCGGGTTCGTTAACCCCTGCGACGCGATTGTGGTTAAAACCACTGATAAATAGCAGACTTGTGTCCAATAGTAAAGAGTAGCCATCGTTTGTGTGTTTAAGAAATTGTTTGTAGAAATAATTGATAATTAATTTCTAAATACTTAACGATAATATTGTTTGAATTGTGTTGTGTTGAGCGCGTGATTAATGCAATATTTGTACAAAAAACTACCAATTGTTTCATACATTTGCCTCAAAATAAATCTCAATTAATGAATGAATATTTCACATAATTTTATTTCAATGCATTTAATTAATAAAAATATAAATTCATTCGTGTTTTGCAAACATTGAAATTCTTATAAAGAAAATTGCAATCAATTGTATAAAAATACAAATCCATTGAAAAATAAAATTAAATATAAAACTAATTATAAAAAGAAAATTGAAAATTAATGAACACTTAAATGGCATTTAATGAATGACTGGTTTTCTATGGAAAGCGCTCATCGCTTGTCCACTGGTTTCTTATCGTTACCGCCGATGACATCAATCACTTCGCAAAAATCATCCGATAGTTTCCTCTTCGGCTTGCGATCAGCATTTGTACCACTTTTGGAGTCATTGACGGCCACATTGAATATCCCGCGACGGATACACTCAGGAGTGGTCGGGAAGTCTGTGTCCCAGAAGTGATCGGGAGATTTAGGCGGCGAGTGTTGGGCGCGATGTCGGGAACAGGCCTTCAGCCGATCCTTCAGACCCTTATCACTCAAATTACGGGTTTTGTAATAGTCTTCGCATTCCTATCCATTCACACAACAAACAAACAAACGGTTAAAACATCAAAATCGGGCCAAACATTGAGACCACATATAAAAGGCATAAAAGAAACCCTTAAAAAGTGGTAAAACAACAATTGATCCATACTTTACACGTGAAACCATCCAATTGTCTGCGTTTACTCTTCTCCCTCACGACTGGACCCAATGTCCTGATCTTCATCTTAACCGGCGATTGACTGCTCTTTTTGGTGTCAATCCATGGCTTTTGGGAGACATTATCGCTGGACTTCCTCTGAGTCTCATTCGCGTCCACTCTTGACGTCGACATCACTCGCGAGGGGAAGAAGTCTTCGTATCTATAATGCAATGCAATAAAAACACAATCAATTGATCCGCAAAACACTTGTCGAAGACTTTTGTGACCAAAAAATACTTACAATTTATTGAATGAATTGAGACTCAAATCAAACGACAATTCAATTCATTGTTTACTTCTATTGCAGTAAAAATCACATAAAAATCATTTGTAAATAACTTTCCATATATTATGTCCAATAAATAGCATTCGGGGGACAAATGTCTCAACACTTAAATTTCTATTCACTTTTATATCTGCTTTACTATTAAGGGATCGCTTTGTATAGCAATACGTTATTTATGCCTAAAATCATTAAATATTTTCATAATAAGCGCCAATACATGACCAAAATTATTACTACAGTTAACACCAGTTATAGTAAACAACGACTACATAAATAGTTTGTACACTATATGGATAATGTACTGTAAATACTAAATGTCAAAAAATAAGCTCAATCAAAAAAGTTTAATCATGGACAATTAAGCAAAACAGCACACTATCGTTACAACTGTTACCCAAACCGAATGTAGACTGTATTGGATGTGCAAAAGGCAGTGCTATTACCCATACGTCAGCCTTAAGTGTGAAAGCAATACAACTAAAGCCAACTCAGCGTTCAGTCAATCACAACACAGACATCAATACAAACACATCCAGACATCCGATCAATACATCACCGCTTAAGACATCACACAAACAGCGAATCCCAGGTGTCATCCCATAGTCACCGGCAACACATCCGTCGCTTCCACACCACAAACAGCACACGTGTGCCGACACAACACTAGTCTTCCGCTTCACAACCGCTACTCAACGCCAGTCATCACTCGATCAGATCCCGAAGACAATGTCCAACAACGACAACAACTCCGCGGGCGGCGACTCGGATGCGGTGTCCGAAGAGGTGAAAGTGGATAAATGGGACGGAAATGCGGTGAAGAACTCGTTGGACGACGCGATCAAAAAGGTGTTCACCGATTCCGACCGCAAACTCGGCTACACTGAGAACCACTGTCTGGTCGACACTCGGCTCGCCATTTGCGTGACGGCAGTCGGCGCCGCACTCTTCGCACTCGTTTGGGATTATTTCAATCCATTCCCGCTCTCGAAGCCGGTGCTCATCGGTTGTGTGGTCTCGTACTTCGTATTGATGGCCATTTTGACCGTTTATACCACGTTCGTAGAGAAGGGCATCTTCTTGAGGGCCACTCAATCGGATCCCACGGGTGTCGACAAACCTAAGGTCTGATCCAATAGATCCCAATCTCTTTACTCACACAACACGTGTTGTGTTCACTATTTGGTCCACTTTGTTGGGACCATTTGTTTACTGACTATTTTGCAAACGCTTTGTCTTTTAATAAGCAATGCATTGGTTTTATTACAATAATTTTAATTGAGTTATAAATCAACTGTTAATTAATCTATAGTTTAATTATTGCTTTAAGTATTTATGAACACGTTTTGCTTACTTTTGCAGTATTTAACGTTAATCTCTCACTAATAGTGAGCAATGCTTTGCATTCATAGCCTTATAATCATAACTTAGTAATCGATAAACACTTTTTACTCACTTTACACTCAATTTTAAGTTAAATCTAATTTTAAAACACATTTATTGAGTGAACAAAAGTAGCGCTCATTTAAGATAACGCTAATCACATTGTGTTATGTGTCTAATGGACTAACGCTATGGGTTTGGGAGAGAGGGCATGAGTTCGCTTCCCAGCCCTGGCTTTGGCTTTATTACAAGACAATGAAAGTGATGAACACTTCTTCCATTGAAACATTCGCGGTTTCCACCGGAGGCCTCACCGCCGATGATGGTTAGCCTGTGAAACGTCTGATTCATTGTCTTCTTTCTATTATATCTCTTTCTTTAACAAACATTTGCTTTTTGTTTTTCAATTGATTTGATTTTTGAATTGTTTTTTTTGTTTGATTTTACTTTTTGCTTATTTTGTAACTTTTTTTGTTTGATTTGATGGTCAGCTGTGGACAGTGTCGTCGATGTTGAAGCGTTTCGATGATATCTACCACTTGTGTATCGAATATAAGGCGCCGAACGGACGCGTCTCCGAAGCGAATCTCTCGAAATCGATCGCCAATTGGTTTGACACGAATGGTGTCCTTCTGTTCGACAAATTCGAGTCCGAAGTGATTAAACTTCACGACAGTCTCCTCTCAGACAAGAAAAACAAATGATTTATTACTGTTTAGTTGTCTTTCTGTTTGTATTTTGTATACAATTTTGTGTTTTTTGGGTCAAAATATTTGAAAAAGTAATGATAAATGTTTTGTTCACTTTTCTATCTATTCTTTCCATTTAATTATATTTTCTATTATTGTTTTTCTCTCTTTTTTATGTAAAAGTATTGACATTTCACTTGAAATTGTATTTAAAAACACTTTCTATTTATGATAAAGTATTTGAAGATTTATTATTAAATAAACGAATTTGGAATATATTCTCACGATTTGTCACTTTTTTGCATTCATTTTATTAAATCCGATATTTAATCAATGAATTACGAGAGAGAGAGAGAGAGAGAGAACTTCAAACAAAAATTAGTAAATATACAAAAAAATACAATTAAACAGTTATTTATCATAATAATAGGCAAACTTTAAAACAAAAAAAAAACAATTTATAAAAAATGCATTGAAAGCAAACATTTGAAGGAAAGTATTGTTAAAAGTTTGAAAATAGCGGTCAAAAGTAGCGATACATTGGTTGACAATTGGTTTGTGCGCTGAATAGCATATGAAAAGGTAGCAAATGCTCGATTGGCGCAAAGCATACAATGCATTGACGGCTATAGCGGTGTTGTCGAGCATAAGGCGTCCCTTTTGTCGCCATTTTATACTAACAACGCTTTCATAGGAAAAAGTGCTAAACTATAGCCCAAACAACACAACAATTAATACATTGACTAACAATTAAGCGCTTCATTCATATAAGCCGTCGACGAAAGTAAGCATTTAATTGTCATTTTAGTTGATTGTATGCAAACATAGCCTAAGATCTAAACTATAGGTTAAATGAGGGCTTAATTTGGTTTATGTTTTGTTGTGTTCACACAAATGCCATGTTTTTCATAGCATTCGCAATACAAATGCAATTCAATACCCATTGATATTAACCATAGTTTTGATACCATTTATGATAACGATTTTGTTTTAAACTTTTTTTTAATGTTCACTATTGAATCGAGTTATGTCCTTGGTCATTTGAAGAACTGTATTTACATCACGATTAAAACAATAAATTTTAATTCAATTATATTTTCATAGTTTTATTTATTTTCATAATTACTTTTGCCCTAAAATAGTGACTGAAATATGAGTTTTACGTCAAGTTATTTGCATTACAATTAGTTTTCAAACTTTTTTTTTACAATTTATTAATTCCTAAGAGTTTTATAAAGTTTTATCAAAATTTAAATGTATTTATTTGAAGGCATTTTTGCGGACATTAATCGGGTGTCAATTGGGAAGCGATGGCCAGACATACGGCCGACTCGTACGACAGGATCGCTGAACTGACACAACAGTATTCGGCGGAAGCGCTTCCCGAAGATGTCAGAGATATTATTCCCGACTTTTTTCTCGAATCGTACGACAAATCGGAAAGAGTAGAAAATTTTGGTCGATATGATTACGTGACTGATTCACTCACTGATGAAGGTTTGCCACAATCAACGCTCCAATTGGTCACACATTTTCATTCATTGTTGATATAATTGATTGTTAACAGAGTATACGATTGGATCAAGTCTTGAGACTGAGGGCAACGGCGAAGGCGAGAGGGATGAGGCGGAAGGCGTCCCACTATTGCGTAATGTACTCAACAATTTGGACGACATTCCCGTCGATCTGAAGAGTTCGGGTCAAGTGTTTGACGAGTACTTCCGCGAGGGCTGCGGCTGTCTTGATGTCTGTGTTGTGATTGACTGAACGCTGAGTTGGCTTTAGTTGTATTGCTTTCACACTTAAGGCTGACGTATGGGTAATAGCACTGCCTTTTGCACATCCAATACAGTCTACATTCGGTTTGGGGAACTGTTGTAACGATAGTGTGCTGTTTTGCTTAATTGTCCATGATTAAACATTTTTGATTGAGCTTATTTTTTGACATTTAGTATTTGCAGTACATTATCCATAGAGTGTACAAACTATTTATGTAGTTATTGTTTACTATAACTGGTGTTAACTGTAGTAATAATTTTGGTCATATATTGGCGCTTATTATGAAAATATTTAATGATTTTAGGCATAAATAACGTATTGCTATACAAAGCGATCCCTTAGTTGTAAAGCAGATGTGAAAGTGAATAGGATTTTAAGTGTTGAGACATTTGTCCCCCGAATGCTATTTATTGGACATAATATATGGAAAGTTATTTACAAATGATTTTAATGTGATTTTTACTGCAATAGAAGTAAACAATGAATTGAATTGTCGTTTGATTTGAGTCTCAATTCATTCAATAAATTGTAAGTATTTTTTGGTCGCAAAAGTCTTCGACAAGTGTTTTGCGGATCAATTGATTGTGTTTTAATTGCATTGCATTATAGATACGAAGACTTCTTCCCCTCGCGAGTGATGTCGACCTCAAGAGTGGACGCGAATGAGACTCAGAGGAAGTCCAGCGATAATGTCTCCCAAAAGCCGTGGATTGACACCAAAAAGAGCAGTCAATCGCCGGTTAAGATGAAGATCAAGACATTAGGTCCAGTCGTGAGGGAGAAGAGTAAACGCAGACAATTGGATGGTTTCACGTGTAAAGTATGGATCAATTGTTGTTTTACCACTTTTTAATGCTTTCTTTTATATGTGGTCTCAATGTTTGGCCCGATTTTAATGTTTTAACCGTTTGTTTGTTGTCTGAATGGATAGGAATGCGAAGACTATTACAAAACCCGTAATTTGAGTGATAAGGGTCTGAAGGATCGGCTGAAGGCCTGTTCCCGACATCGCGCCCAACACTCGCCGCCTAAATCTCCCGATCACTT